GACTGTGCACTGAGTTGTCATAGGCAGAGCTACTCCCAGGTTGCACAATACTGTGTGGTAATTAGTGATGAGAAAATGAGCTCATGTAGAGACTTGTGGATTTAGAGTCGGGTAATCCAAAGATAGAGGGTTTTTTGCCAAATACAGTGTAATTATAATCTAAGAAAAATGTGTTAGTACTAAGTGAACCAACCATAAGGTACATTCTGTTTCTCTTACTTTCAGTTATGTAATACATTCTTTAGATGTAAATAAATACTAAGAACAAACACTTGTTTCTTCAAATAACTTAGCCTAAAAACAAAGGTGCGTAGGCTCCCCCTGTAGTCAGCTCTTGGCTTTTAGATACCTAGTTCTCACCTCTGGGTCTGAAAACCTGAGATCCTGTGACGCAAAACACTGGTGAGTTATGACACCTGGGCTGCCCAAAATTTGCTTTTTTTTTTTTTTTTTTTTTTTTGCTTTTTTGCATTTTTGACCTACACCTTTCTCCCAAAAGGATTCACAACTGATCAGGTGCTGCGAGCAGTCAGCATGTCAGCATAGCCCCACTCTGAGCCCAGCACTTTATGTCTTAGTTAACTTGCCAGAAATGTCTTCATGTGTCAACACCTCATCCAGATGGCTGCTAACAGCTCTGGGTGCACAGTTCTTCTGTCAATCACCTTTGAAGGCTTCTACTATACACCTGTCTTTCTCTGTTGACTAGACAGGCATGGACAGCAGGCATGGACATCTAGCTCAGACTGTATGCTCAGCACTGACATGGCTGAAGTCAGCTGAGGTGAAGCCCTACTGAAAACTGAAGCTATGTGACAGCTGGGCTTGTCACTATAAGGAGAACATCTAACAAAGGGCTCTAAAATGATGAAGGGTCTGGAGCATCTCTCTTATGAAGAAAGGCTGAGGGACCTGGGCATATACAATCCAACAGTGAGAAGGCTTGAGGTGATCTTATGAATGTCTACAAATATCTGTAGGCAGAGTGTCAAGAGATTGAGGCCAGACTCATCTCAGTGGTGCCCAGCAATATGATGAGAGGAAACAGGCAAAAAACTGAAACACAGGAAGACTGAACATGAGGAAAATCTTCCGTACTATGTAGGTGATGAAGCACTGGCACAGGTTTCTTAGAGAGGTTATGGTGTCGTCTTCTCTGGAGATATTCAAAACCCACCAGGATGCAATCCCAGATAATGTGCTCTAGGGGAACCTGCCTGAACAGGGGCTTTGGCTGGATCTCTTCCAACTTCAGCCATTCTGTCATTCTGTGACCCTGTCCTTTGCTCCATGTTCCAGCCTCTCTCTACCAGTGGCTCCCAGCCATGTGGTCTGGTCCCTTCCCTTGTGCTGACTCTGCCCCTCCTCAGCCCTTCGCTAAGCCCCTATGTCTGACTACTGCAAGATAAAACTATCCCAATAGTTACTAGGATCAGCATTTACCTAATCAGTGATCTGGTTTTGTTCATGATGTACAGGACTAACAAGAGCCAGAGCTGGTCAGTGGAAAGGGAATAGGAAGTGAGACCTTCACACTAAGAAGTCTGAGTGGCTCTGACTGTCTCATCTACCTCCTCCCTAATGCATAAGCAATGAACCCCAGTGGCAACATGGCTCATTGCTTGTTTGAATGCAGTGATTCTCAAAGATACTCCTGTGAATACGGTATATCTTCCTTAAATCTGATCCTTAGATCAGTACTTGATTCTGGCTCGTAGCATCACCTGTAAAGATCCCTGTTAAATGCTCATCTCCTAACAGGAAACAGAGTTGCAATAAAACTACATACAGCAAAGCACTAACCGAAAGCACAACTAAGTGATGTGGATAAAAGAATGACTCACCAGAAGGAATTCAACACAGCGATGCTTGCATATAGGTGAGCACCAGAGCAGGCACCTTAGTGGAAATGACTGTCTAAGGCATCTTTAGTAAGTCATTTTAGCCTGAATTCTCAAAGACCTGAAGGCTAACCTCTCTAGAACGCTAGCCTGTTAAATCCTTCTATTTCAGTTTTGATCTTCAGGAGTGAGAAGATGCTTTCAGTTCTTTGATTGTCAGGGCTATTGTTTGACAGCATATATGCTATAATTATACATTACTATTGTGGATTAATTAGACCTGGCTTGCATCTATGTATCTAATTTATTGCATTTATGTATCTAATATAATGCTTGTATCTAATTTTTTAGAGCAGAATTTTAGGCTTTGTTTCATTCCTATTTCACCCAGCCCTGCAAGCATACATCTAAAGTCAGGAGGGTCAGAGTACAGGAACACATCTTTTGGAAGGCGGACATCTGTATAGTAAGGCATGGTAATGTTTCACTGCTGTAAACTGACGAGATTACTGATTATATGCAGAAAACCTGCCACAGCTGATGCTTTGCTTCATGGACTGCAGGGCAATATGGTTCTTCTGCAGGGCAATATGGTTCTTTTGCCAGATATTCTTTGCTAACAGAACAGCTCCAGCTTTGTTTACTTTGCTCCCCAGCTGCTGTTACACATTATACACTGATTGACATTGTACTGCATCTGCACTAACAAATAAAATGAGCAGGGGCCATTTTTGTTGCTGGAGGCATGTAGCATGGTATGGCTTACATCTGAATGCATCATCCTGAACCAGGGTGATCTTTTCCATCCTGGCCACTAGTAGCAGGTTTTGGCCTGTGTCACTGCTCCAAACACATCTGGGCATTGTGAGGACCATGGTAATGAGAACAAGGGAAAGCAGAATGAGGTGGTAAAGATTAAGCAGTGTGGGTGTGGAACAGTGCTCTAGGCCAAATAGAGCCTTGTTTAGGTTCTCAGTACAGATGTCACACTGGTAAGCTATCATGCTGTATGTTCATTTGCACTCAGATCTACCAACAGAACGGCATACATGCTTGCTCTCTGCTCCATCCCCCTCAAAAGTGAAAAAAACTCATCTGCAAAACTTCTTAAAGTGATCAAACAAACACACTCTGATGTGCTAAAATGACAGAAGTCATATGTCAGTGAAATTTCCATTCCCTCGTGTTGATGGAATGGACTAGCCAAGGCATGCCCTGCTCCATCTCCTCAACTGGAAGCCCTTGTCCCACCAGCTCAGACACCAATACGTACACTGAACCCTGCTGAGCTATCAGATGAATTGTCCAACAGGATGGAGGATGGAGTTCAACAGGCTGAGGTGTGCCTCAGCCAGGGAACAAGGCTGGATGCAATGGCTGTTCTTCTCAGGAGTTACTTTCCAAAACAGTTACTGAAGAACCGGAATGTGAGGAGGATGTTCACACAATATTTGTTAGAGAAAACTGTTCCCCTATGGCTGGTGTCACCAGTCATAGGGAGTCTTGCTAAGATATTTGAGGGCAGCTCGATAGAAGAATCCTCCAGGTGCCATGCAATATCTAAAACTAGCTTACTGGCAATACAAGAGAATTTCTAAGTGCCACTAGAGGTTTTCCAAGAGAAGGAACACTAGTATACCTTACAAGTGGAGACAACTCTCTGCCAGCAAAACTGGCAGATGAACCAATAACTATATCCGTCTTCCTCCAGGATGAAACTAAACCTGGCAGAATCAGAAAAGGGAGTAAGCACACCTTTGGGATGCTTTATGCACTTTTGTTGCAATTAATTGGGTTTTCGCTGGCCCAAATTTTAGCTGAGAACAGATGTGTCAAATACATGCACTGAGAAGCTGTGTGTGTGCAGCTGGGAGTACAGTTTAAGGGCTGCTTGTGCACCGAGGTCCTTTCCCTCTGACCTGAAGCATTCACACGGGAAATAGCCTGTTCCCTGCTTCTGATGTAAAACAGAATTAAACACAGATAGGTGAACAGTTAAGTTGTAAATGGTCAAAGGTTTGTGCTTTTCTTAGCTGTAAAGATGTTTATTGCAAAGTAGCAATCCCATTTGGGATTCTTGACAATTTCCAGGTATGATTTCATTGCAACTCAGCAGGACTTGTTATTAATAGCCCTACAAAATATCACATTACTTATCACCTCTGTTTACCTCCAAAGTTCATCATTTAGTTTTGTGCTTCATAAACCTGAGAGGTCACTGAGTGCTCCTGGGAGAGACATTAACTCAGTGACACCAACCTGCCCAGGGATTCCCTCCAGAAGTACTAGGCAAGCTGCAAAGTGGTTTCATTTTGACTAGAAAAGAGGAACAATAAAACCTGTTTTCAGAACATTCACCAGTAGAAATATGCTTTAAATGGCCGAAGCCTTTGCCCACAGAAGTTTTTGTCCAAATCCACATTTCTGATGCTCAGATGCAGTGCCCTGAATTTCTTCCAGTTCTCCATCATTACTTACATTACTTAACACAAGCTAATTGTTTACAGGGGAACCATACGGGGAACATCATGAAAGCACCTTATGTAACTGCAGTTATGAGAACATGAAAGAAATCATCCCACGCAGTAAAAGAGATTGAAGATGCCTCCGTCTCCTAAGCACACATTTGCCCATTAACACTATCTAATAAATCCACATAAAACAGCTGGAACATGTTTGACAGATGAGGCTGTAGCTTGGGACAGCCTCCTCCTACTCTTTCCCAGGGGCACAGGACAAGGAAGGGCCAGTGCTGTGTCCTGGGGACACTCACCGACCCTCAATCCTTTCCTTGCTCCTTGTGATAAAGCAGTCACCTGTGAACCATGGCAAGCTTGGTCTGGGTACCTATAATTAAGAAATGCCAATCTGTACTTGTGGTGTCTTGTCTGCTTCCTATGTGGGATACAGTGCTATTCTTTAGCTCTTGAGATCCTAATAGAAGTCTGTTCTGTTGTGCCTTCTTGGAGTTGACCTTTTCCATGACCCCAAAGTAGCAAACAAGCTGTTATCTATATTCAGGATAATTCTGATAATAAGGCCCTCCAGTCACACACATACAGGGGAGAGAATAACAGTACTTTCATAATAGTTATGCCCTCAGTTAACTTTAAAGCACTGGGAAAAGGAATTATTGTCTACCGTACTTTATGCTGACAGACTGTCAATGACAAGAAAGGACTGTCTGGGAATATGAAGGTTGTGGGCAGCTTTGAATGCAGCAACCACGAGATAGTGGAGCTCAGGATCTTACATGGAAGAAAAAAGGCAATAAGTGGAATTGCAATCCTAGACTTCAGGAGAGCCAACTTTGACATCTTCAAGGACCTACTTGCAGGTATCCCATCGGTTACAGCATTGGAAGGTAAGGAGGTCCAAGAGAATTGGTTAATATTCCAGTACCAAAAGTTTGTTTAGAAAAGGCTCTTGAGAAACAAAGGTTGCAATGCATGGCTTGACAATTGACCACATTCTTTAATTATTTGTCTACAGGTTTTAAATAAACACCTCAGCTGTGATATAAAATCACGGTGAAGGTAAAAGCTGTGAAAAGCAACAGAGTTAGATATTTTAATTTTTAATGAGAAGCAAGAGAGAAAGATGCCAACATTGGATGACATTTTAGAGCACATCGGAGAATTTGACAGGTTCCAGAAACAAACCTTCTTCGCCCTGTGTTTGCTTTCTGCTGCCTTCACACCGGTCTATGTGGGGGTCGTCTTCTTCGGGTTCACCCCCGAGCACCGCTGCTTCAGCCCTGGCGTGGCGGAGCTGAGCCAGCGCTGTGGCTGGAGCCTGGCGGAGCAGCTGAACCACACCGTTCCCGAGTGGGGCAGCCATGGGGCCGCCTACAGCAGCCGCTGCAGCAGGTATGAGGTGGACTGGAACGCAACGGCTGTCAGCTGCACCGACCCCCTTGGCAGCCTCGTGGGCAACCGGAGCTCTGTCCCACTTGGCCCCTGCCAAGATGGGTGGGTCTACGACTACCCTGGAACCTCCATAGTGACTGAGGTAAGGAACAGTTTGTCCAACAATATCTGTCTCACCTGCAGTCCTTAAACTTATCTGGGGTAGAAAGAGGGGTTAAAGCAAAATTTTCAGGCTGAATTCTAGTAACATTTGAATTGATATTTTCATAATAGTTTTTAAAAAGAAAAAGGCAGTTCATTCATTGATTTACCAAAGACTCCTCTCCAACTTTTACAAAAGCTACATTTGGCCACGTTCCTGGCTTCTCCCAGCTCCTGCAAACCATATTGCTCAGCCAAGGCTGGGAAAACTCCTCACTACCCCACAATGCCATCTGAAGGCAAAGCACAGCCATAGAAAGCTCCATGGATGGAGATCCTTGCTCACAGCCCCTGCACACAAATTGCCCCGCTGGCCTAGCGGTAACCCCACCACCTCCTACACACTGTGCTGGTTTCACACAGTGAGATAATACATGGCTAGGAGTAGTCCTTGGCATCTGAGAAGGAAACCATGCTCCAAGCATCTTCTAAATTTCAAGCAAATATGGGAGAGGAGAAGGTGACATTTCTCTGAGCTTTTTTATTTTTCCATTCAAAGATTCTCTGCCTCTGTCATTCTGTTCTTTGTCATTCTGCTCTTCTGTCATTGTGTAATTATTTTCCAGGGCATAACTTCTCTGTAAGGTCTGGAAAATCTGGATGAGATGTATTGCAGATGTTGGCTTTAAGAGATTACATATTTTATTTTTCAGAGCCTGTTTCCTAGTTGTTTTTTTCATTTCACTCTTTTCTATTCCAAGTTGTTTCCTTCCATTACCCCTCCTTGAAAAAACATGGTTTGAGTTGAATGTTCCCATTCTTCTGTGACTGTCCGTGCAGTTTAACCTGGTGTGTGAGGACTCCTGGAAGCTGGACCTCTTTCAGTCATCTGTGAACGTTGGGTTCTTTATTGGCTCTGTGATAATCGGCTACATAGCAGATAGGTATGTAACATGTACAAAGGTGTGAGATGAACTGCTTCTTTCAGCCCTCTGCTTCCTCCATGTCACTGAACAACATTCATGACTCAAAGGGGAAATAAATGTGCCAAAAACTTGTTTCAGAAGGCCCATGTATCTCTTAAAAGTGAATGGATCGTGGTTCCTAAGCCCTGGCTGCTGTGATCCAGGAATCCATACAAATGTCACAGTGTTCACTCTTTCAATGGTTTTGTGTGGAATTTGCATATTCACAAGCGAAGAGGTTTTTTTTCTTTAACAGTGGCAATCTGTAATATGAGCTCAGAGTTTTAAATGAAATTTTATCTCACGCACTAACAGCTATTTGCCCATCTCATAATAAATTTGTTTCATGTTAGTTTTAACACTATCCAGATGGCTGTAAATCAGCTTTAAAATAGGAATGTTTTTCCCAGATGAAGAAAAAATTAAATCCTAAATCTTCTCTTGTCCCTCTCTCTCTCAGCTGGCTCTGTACAAAGCTGGGATTTCATTATTATTAAGATCTCATTATCTCTCACCTCCTCTTTACTATCATAAATGTCAGCGTGCCACATATCTGCTCACATTTTTTTTAGGTTACACTCAAAACAAACATGCGTTGTAGCTGATTTTCCTGTGCTTCTTTTTTTCTTTTTTCTTTTTCTTTTTTTCCCTAGTATAATGATAAGAGAGGCTGAAATTGGAATTTAGAAGAGGTGAAGTTAATAGGAGATGAACGGTCCTACAAAGGCTTCCTTCCATAGAATCAGACAGTTTTCCAGTGTAATTGAAAGCATTCCATCCTATTTACATTTCAGTAATGATGTACAGCTTATGGAAGTAAAGGAGGAGATATGTAGCAGCCTAGGTATGATAGGACATGAAAAAGCAATGAGCAGATCCCACAGCTATCAGGGGAGAAACTGTTCAAATTACCCTTCAAACACAGAGATGAACTAAGCAAAAATGACTAGCAAAAGAATTTCTTGACAACATATGGTTACGTGAACCGGCAGAACCAAGGATCACAGTCCCAGAGCAAATTATATCTGATATGCTCTTTCTGTTTAAAAACACTAAATAATCAGGCAAATTATAAGACCTGAGAGTCAGATATCATTGCTGTTAAGATAATGCAAGTACATAACACTGAGTATTTTTCTGCTGCTGTACTTACTGACACCCTCTCCCCATTTTCTATGGTCTTAAACAGTGCAAGCCTTGAGGAGCAAAGCAAGATCTCGTATCCAGGTGCTTAGGACAAAAAACAACTCCAGAAGCCTAAAATTTAGTAGACAGAAAGAGAAAAAAAGGTCTATGAATTATGTGTTTCCTGAACTTGAAACATCTATCCTCTATCAGGAGTGCATACAGAGTGCACTGTTTTTTCCACACATTAGGTGCCTGAAATCTGTTTCAGGTGCTTCAGGGGAGATTTCATCAGCTCTTCCCAAATGCGCCTCTCTCAGAGGGATTAGACCGACTCATTCACTTGACTGGGCTCTGGGCACATTTCCAAACACTGGTGTCTTGGAAAGGGCACTCCTGTTTCCTTAGACAGCAGACAAGGTCAGTGCTAAGATTCAGTGTTTGCACCTTTGTCATTTATTGCCAGGCCTCTAAGAAAAGGCCATCTCAGGAGAGGACATCCATCTCTTGTGGTCTGACAAGCTCCTCATGGGCTGGTCTTTGAAACAGTCAAAAAATATTAGTATGTCAGACTCATGAAAGAAAGAAAGTATGAGAGATTTGATCAGCTGCTTATTGTGGAGAACAGAAGACATTTATTTTGGCTGGCATTTATTATAATGCTGTTTTTGCCAGTGCACACTAACTAATTTAATGGCTTTTATAAATCGAACTTCTAACTGAATATATGTCTCTGTCAGCTAGAGAACAAATGCCTTTCTAGTGCTCAAGTAAGCTTGTTTCTTTTGGAAACATTCTATTTCTGACTATGTACGGGTGAGTCACAGTGAATGACAAATAACAGGAATACCCAAGACCCCCTTCTAGAAGAGCTTAGCAGACAGAAAGATTAAATGAGAAAACAGGTAAAGAAAACAGTAACCAAATACGATCTACATTAAAAAAAATATTGCAGCTTTGAAAGATGGGATGAAGGGCCTCAGTAGAGCATTTATTGAACTCATTTACTAAGTCATTAACCAGAAGTGGTGACCTGATAACACAGGATGAGGGAGTTCTCTGAGCTTCTACTGAAATGAAAAATGCTGTGAAGGGAATAGCAGATCCAGACTCCTACTCAGAACGAGTAGAGAAAAGGGGGACAGGGAACATTCGCAGTCTCTTCATACCCTTTGGTCTGCCACCCCACCCTGTGTGTGCAGCAGGTGAGCATGGTGGCAGGGGAGCTTGGCCAAAGCCAAGCTTTCTTTCTGCCCAAGCACCATGGTACCTCTTGGTATCTGTCACCAGCTAATGCAAATGGGAAAAGCACCAGAGCTCAGGAATAGAACAAAACAACATGGCTCCTACATTCCTCCTGCTTTTCTGGTCCTTTCTGTGGTCCCTCCATTTCCAAACATATCTCAGAAGAGGTATAGTCCCTCTTCCTTCTATTAACTCTTGCTTCTGGATTTGGCCACTGTACACACCATCAGCCTGACTGACTCTTCAGGCTGCTGTGGTAGCGGCAATGCTAAGCAAACACAGTAACAACTTGTACAACTTCCACCTCAGCTCTTCTCCACAGGTCTGTGCCCCACTGGGTGGGAAAGTAGATGAGAGGAAAAGATCAGGGAAGCGATTTTGGAAGGAGAGGTCAGCTCCTTAAACACACCACAGGGTAGATGATCAAAAACTTAGTATTCAGGTCAGGACTCAGGATACTAATAAAGCTTTACATTTCTTGTACCTGAGAAAACACTTGGAACAAAATCTGAAAGAGGAAAGCAACCTTTGTTTCATAGAATCATAGAATGGCTTGGGTTGGAAGGGACCTTAAGAATCATCAAGCTCCAACTCCCCTGCTGCATGTAATCTCTATGGAAGTTGGTGGCCCTGAATGGGTTTGTTTCAATGGGTTACTCATGAGGAATCTTTGCCATTCAGATGGAGTTTTGTGCAGCTGCGAGCTGAGCCTTTTTTCCTCTCTTTTCTTCTTCTTTCCCTCTGCAGGTTTGGTCGCAAGCTCTGCCTCTTGATCACAGTCCTCATCAATTCTGTCTCAGGGGTTCTCGTGGCCTTCGCACCCAGCTACACGTGGACAGTGATCTTTCGGTTGATCCAGGGGCTGGTCAGCAAGGGGGGCTGGCTGACAGGCTACGTCCTGAGTTACGGCACCTTGCAGTTCCTCTCACTGGGCAGGAAACCCGAGTTAGCAGCAGGGCTGGCCACTGCTGGTGCCCTCTGGGGATCATAGAATCATAGAATCATAGAATCACCAAGGTTGGAAAAGACCTTCAAGATCATCCAGTCCAACCGTTCACCTATTCCCAGTAGCTCCCACTAAACCATGTCCCTCAACACAACATCCAGACTTTCCTTGAACACCCCCAGGGTCGGTGATTCCACCACCTCCCTGGGCAGTCCATTCCAGTGCCTGACCACCCCTTCTGAAAAGTAATACTTCCTCATGTCCAGCCTGAATCTCCCCTGCCGTAGCTTGAAGCCATTCCCTCTGGTCCTATCACTAATGACATGAGAGAAGAGGCCGACCCCCAACTCACTACAACCTCCCTTCAGGAAGTTATAGAGAGCAATGAGGATCTGTGGAGACAGGGACAGCGTGCTATTTACTGCACAACCGCACTTTGTTGCTTTAAACCGTCTATGAGTCAAGCTGTGTTTTCTTTTGTGAGCTGCCTGTCTGAGGGTTTACAGGCCTACAGACTTTGTTATCAAATCAACATTTTATTCCTGGAAAGCTTGCACCAACTTGTACACATACATAGAATAATTAGGAGGCAGCTCTAGACGCTAAGGAGCATTTGTATCCGAAGTGACACGTCAAATGAGAGGGCAAAGTCTGGGGGCAAGAACTGAAAATGCTGCAAAGACATTCAATGCTTTTCCAGGAAAGGCAGCAGCAAGCAGCACTGCAGGAGATAACGTTTGTGTTTCACAAACCTTGTGCCAAAATGGCTTTGCTGTGTCAGGAGCCAGCAGATGCCAGCAGGCTGCTGGTGTTGCAAGCTAGTCTTGGTTAGGTGGAATGAGAGATAGAGAGCTGTATTTGCCCTTGTTTTGGCTGAGGCCTGACAGTCCTGGTAGAGGGGCCAAGCCCCTAGCTGACTGATGGAGACTTCTGCAAAGCTGAGTCATGCTACACGGTCAGCCACAGCTGCAGCCACACTGTCAGTTGCTTCTAAGCACAGCAAACCACATCTCGTAGACAGTCAGAAAAGTGGCACCAGTTGTCTCCAGTGCCGAGGCTGCAGCCTGTACACCAGGCCAATTCTGCTTCCCCAACTAAACCCATGTCCTCACACGATGCCATAAGGTCCCTGTGCCTCACACAACATTATCTTTGTAGCTGCAGAATTCGTTGGCTTAAGCTTCCGGAGGACAGTGGGCATCATCTACCAACTTGCCTTCACTGTGGGACTCCTCATCCTCACTGCTGTGGCTTATGTGCTCCCACGCTGGAGATGGCTTCAGCTTGCTGTCACCCTGCCCAATTTCTTCTTCTTACTCTACCACTGGTAAGTTCCTAAGTTTCCAGTGTCACCACTCCCAGCATCCCTAAATCAAAAAGATAATCCAGTGGACTACACCTGGGAGTCCAAGTTTCTTTGAAGAGGTCAGAACTGGACTTCCGAAACAACATCAGATCAGATCTTCTGTTTTTCTTTCATTTGGTTCCCCCTGCCCAGGAGTTTATAGTTTATTCCAAGCCATCTAGGAGCAAGGAACAAACTGTAACATGCGCAGTTACTTGCCTTTTCCTGTCCTTTAAGTGTCATGCTTGTATGCACTGCAGGTGTCTGCCCGAGTCCCCCAGGTGGCTAATAACTCAGAAGCAAAATGACAAAGCTATGGAAGTTATTAAGCGCATTGCCAAGAGAAACAAGAAGCAGCTACCTCCCTCTTTCCAGGTGACTGTACTGCATTTACTGAGTGTATGCAAAGCTCAGGCAAGCAAAGCTACAATGTTAGGATTACTGTGGGTTTAGATTTGGGAGCAGCTTGGTGACCGAAAGCACTGCAGTTCCCTAACATACAACAAGTGGCTTTTCTTTGCCTGCCTAGGACTCTAAAGACCATGTTTGAGAAAAGAGGCTTGCAAAAATAGCCAACAGACAAGAAATATTCTTCCTTTAATTAGTACCAATCAACATGCAGTAAACTCACCCAATTTCATGACTGAGCATTCCAAGACATCCTCATTCATTTTTTAATCTACCACTTCACGTCATGCAACATCCTCATAAATATGGCTGCACAGACATGGGAACTGTCTACACACATTTTCATATTTTCTTTCCCCAAAAACCTTGGAGAAGTTATTTTGCTTTCATAACTGATAAATCAATACTAATATCTTCCCATAAATCCAGGGAAAAATATTCCTTGCTTACTCTTGCCTGCTAACTCTAATTTTTTATCCTTCTCTCACTTGTGCTTCCAGAACCTCAAATCTGAAGATGAAGATGGAGAAAAGCTGAAACCTTCATATCTAGACCTGGTCAGAACACCTCAGATAAGAAAGCACACATTCATTTTGATGTACAGTTGGTAAGGGAATACTTTTGCAACCTACGTGGAGGAATTGTATTCAATTCCTTAAAATGTCATGGTTGGACCAGCTATGAATCTGAGTCCTTTACATAAGCTCTCTCTCAAAGAGTTTGATTTCATCTGCCTGATCTTTGCATAGGTTCACAAGCTCCGTCCTCTACCAAGGGCTCATCATGCACATGGGACTAGCTAGTGGGAACATTTACCTGGATTTCCTCTATTCTGCTCTTGTTGAATTCCCAGCTGCCTTCATCCTCTTGTTAACAGTGGATCGCATTGGCCGTCGCTACCCATGGGCTGTGGCAAATGTGATGACGGGTGGTGCCTGCCTTGTTACGGCATTCATCCCAGACAGTGAGTCATTCAAATCTCCTCAGTCAATGAAATCTCTCCACATCTCCATGTTATTGTTCTGGAAAATTGAAAGTAATCTTTGCAAACCTAGCCCACATCAGTATTGTGATCCAATGAACACAAATGCCATAGAAGCCTATGTATGCCCGGTATCACCATTTACACCAGATAATGAGAGGTTTGAGGAAGGTCAATTACATTTTCAAAATAGCACCAAATAAGATGGCAAGTCTGCCTGTGCTAGACCACAAGAAATGCCCCGTTATTCTTTAATTTTTGTGTGGCTTAGAATTTGGATGCTCCGTTCTGGGTGTTCATCCTCCAAAGTCCATCTTTTCTGTTTCTAAAAAGTTAAAATGTGGTGACACACACACTTAAACACCATCTGGATACGCTGCTTCCTGCAGTGTAGGATGTTGAGCAACCACAGTGAAAGGCACTTGGCTTTTATTCAGCTGAACATTCTCTACAAGGCTGGAGTCTCAAGGAAACGTCCCATGAGAGCCACTGACTGGAACATCTTTCCTTTCTTTTTATGGAGCATAGTTAGACTGAAACCACAGAAATAATAGTGCCAAACAGCTATCAGTTCACAGCAGAACAAGGACAGAAAACAGAAAATGTAATGGAAAAAAAATAATAGGCAAAAATAACAAAGCATTCAGACAATAGATATTTCACACACAGCTGGGGATTGCAGGGATACAGAGGGGACTGATGTGCTTTTCCAAAGCAGCACTGGTGCAGGAGGCTTCCAGCTGCTGCCCACAGCTGCAATTGCCAGCCATGTGCAGCAGCAGCAGTCTGCTCAGCTCTAGAGGAGCTCTGCAGCAGTAGTTATCAGCAGCTGTCAGTCTGCATTCCTCATTGGGGTAAATGAGGGAGAGAGTCCATGCTGCACATGCACTAGTAGCTGAAACAGCTGAAACCACCATCCGAGGTCAGATTGGGATCTAAGAACCCATGGGGCATGCAGCAGTACCCTGGACTGGCACCCACTGCGGGGCTGGAATATTCATTCATTTGCAGCAGATGTCTCTACCTTCAGGTCTGAAAGCAATCACAGAGCATATATACCAAGAGAGAGGGGTAACAGCACCAGCTTGCCCCCGCCAGAAAGCCATCAGACATCTCTGTGCAAAAGTGCAGAGTACCTTGCAAATTAGCAAATTTTGGCAACCAGAAAAGCAGCTGTGAACTGCTTAGTTTTATTGCATGGAGGAAATAGCATTTTTGCATAAGCTTTCGGTTAATACACCAAAATACCCAATTTACTTAGTATCATCATTTTCTCTCTGTGACAGCCTCAAACTTCTGTTATTTACTTGAATCAAGACAATCACATCATAAATTATTTGAAGAATGAAAGAAAACACAATCATGCTCAGAGCTCATGACAGTTCATGACAGTGAAGTTCTTCTTTTCTTAAATTAAATCATTAATGCTGTTCTGTGTTAACAGCAGAAAAAAAATGGTTTTGTATTTCAACCTCAATATACACAATGTCTTTACAGCTCTCTATTGGCTTAAAATGACCGCAGCGTGCCTGGGCAGGATGGGAATTACCATGTGCTATGAAATGGTTTGTTTGGTAAATCCTGAGCTGTATCCAACTTCTCTCAGGTAAGCGTACCTCCTTCTGTTAGATTTAAGCAGTGAGTATGTTTATGCACTTGAGGCTGTCGTAAAGAGTCACCATTTAAACCTCAGAAATGTCTGTCGTGGAAGAAAAAGAGGACCTGTCAAATAGCAGAAACGTCATTTAAAATTGAAAGCCCACCAGTAAGCTGTTCTTATCACTGTGAGGAGCAACAGAGAAGATTCCCTGTGACGAGAAAATACAGTGCTGCTTTTCTAAGCCCAGCACTAAGGCAGGAGTCCCTAATGGGATATGTAAGGAACTTTTTCAGATAGCCTTCACATATCCCTCTTTGAGGGCAGTTTGGTGAGCTTGGAGTCAAGTGATCATTAACGCCTCTATCCCATGATAGGACTGCCATCATATTCTCCCTCCTCACCTCTTTCACATTGCAGTATTCCTCACACGAGAATGCACAACCTGTGCTTTTTTATGTTCACACTGATAAGGCTTTTCTCAGTTCCTGCCTTCCTGTCTCCACAGCTTGTTCCTCTGCCCATCAGCTGCAATACCCACTGCAGGGTGCTGGCCCCTCTCTTCTACCCTACTCTAGCCATGGGTGGCAGCAGGGGGGTTCACAGCCCTCCCTGCTGTATGGGGCACTCCTAGGCAGAGCTCCTGACGTGGGCCAGTGTCTGTCTCTTCCAGGAACCTAGGGGTGCTGATCTGCTCATCCATGTGTGACATCGGTGGAATCATGACTCCCTTCATTGTGTACAGACTGGCGGAGCTCTGGCACGAGCTGCCCTTGGTTCTCTTTGGTAAGAGAGCTAGGAGGTGGTTAGATGGCCTCAGCCTAGATGAGTGATTTCGGTGACCTATTTCCCCACTGTTTAAAAAAAAAATAATAATGCTAAGAGAAATGAACATATGCATATCAGATCTAGCTTAAGTTTCTCCCATCTAGCAGTTGGGAATTGAGCTGAATACACTCCCTTAGTCCTTTCAACAAAGGGAATCTCGTGTTTTGGGAGCAGCTCTCTCAAGCTTTGACTTGCTCTTACTGAACCTTCCCCTGGTAAAAAGGTCTTTGGGTTCAGTGCTACACATCTTCAATGTAGTCAAGGGACTAGAGGTCAGCACAGGCTGGCCTCTCTTCTCCTGCATCTCTTGCATACACCTCAAGTGCCTAGCCCTTCAGTGATCCCACTGTCATTTAGGATCAATGCTCCTGCACATATTCATTCTGGTATGCCCAGCTGCACCTTCTATCCTGTATGTGGTCATAACAGGGTCCAAAACTAAACAGAAGGCAAAATAGGCAGGATAGGCTGATAGTACCCTTTCTTTCACATCTTAATTACAGCCAAAGTAGGAACGGCAGCTAGCTAGCATCACCCCCATCACATCCCAGCAGAACAAGTAGAGCCAAAATCTGTTTCCTTTGCACTGCATGCACAAAGCAAGGGAGCCAGACTGCTTGAGGACCTATGAACCAGGCCAGTGTTCCAGGCCTCCTATGCCTCTCAGAGATGTTTGCAATCACTGTTCAATCATAAGCTGTGTCTCAGAATTAACGAGAAATTTGGAATAAGCTGAGGCCTGATCCCTGCATTGCCTTTGTGAGCCTTGCTCTTGCTTTCTCTCTACAGCTGGGATTGCTTTTGTTGGTGGTGGCTTGGTCTTGCTCCTACCTGAGACGAAGGGAAAAACTCTACCTGAGACCATTGAAGATGCTGAAAACATGCACAGGTATGGTGCTTCAAGCACAGGCCCCACAGATCAGAGCAGCTTTCCTTCATGGCATCAAAGCCCTCTTGTTGCCATTCATCACCAGAAGTCCAGTTGGGAACCTGACACTTTCTGGCCAGGCCAGGTTCTGAGTGCAACACAGTGCAGGACAGGAAAGGAAGAAGTCTCTAGAAGGAAGTGCATACAGACAAATACACACCCAGAAGTTACTGTAGAAACCACCTAGAATAACAGCTTTAACAGTAGGAAATGACAAAGTTACTAATGCAACCGCTAACATGATTTTCAGACATCCATGCAGCTGCAGTCAGCCTACAGAAATTCTTCAAATTACTTCTTTTCTTGCTGTTCTCTCAAATAGTTTGATCTCATTTGAAAAACTGCCAGTGATGGGAGAGTTGTTAAATTTAGTCTCCAGTGAATTTAAGCAGATGGGTTATTTAGTGGATAATGTTCTTTGCCACACCAGAGCATCATCTGTCTTTCCCTTATTCCTTCTGCAGACAAGAAAGAAGCAAGGAAAACACAATTTATCTTCAAATTCTAACTTCAGAAGCTGTACCCAAGTAAGGCTCCACTTTTATTCCAAACCTGCTTTCACCGGGCAGCAGTGGAGGGGCCAGCACAACAGCCCCCACCCAGCACTGAGGAAAGGACCATGGAGACATAGCCCACCCTTTTCCAGCTTGCTCTCTCACTACCACCAGCCACAGCCATGGCAGTTGACTCCATGGATTTCCTATTCAGGCTCTCACAGACCATCTTCCACTGAATTTCTCTATTCATCTTCTCAGTACTTTCACATTTCCCCGGACATTTGACAACAGTGACTTTTACAGCCCAGGCAGGACACTCATGAAGTAATGCTTTTTTCACACTTGCAGCTCATTTCCATAGCAAGCAAGAATGTATCTGTAGTTCCAACCCACCTCCACACTGCACTAATTTTACAGGAAAGAAAGCATGTAGATAGTGGCTGATTTATGTCACTGCCTATATACACCCCTGAAAATCTCAGTGCCCGATGCTGAGCAGGCTCAGCTCCTACCACTTTATAGCAAACACCTCTGCAGAACACGCTTAGGGAGTCCATGAGTATCCACTAGAACTTCCCACTTAGTTCTCCAGAAAAGGTGGAATAAACCTGGTGAGGGGGAAGTCTAGTTCCAGACCAGTTTTTAAGCTTTGGCACCCCAGAATTTGATTAGCTACGAGACAAGCTGGAAAATTAAAAGGAAGGGAAGAAAGAGCTGCAGGCAGATGAGCCTTAGGCCGTGATGTTCTGAGTGCTACTGCCCTATCTTGTGGGATCAGCGATGGGACAAGGAGACAAAGCCTCATCGCATACATCCACTGGGAGCAGCACAAGCAATAATACACCACAGCACTCTGTACAATAAAGTCCTGTTGTTCTAATATGTATTGCTTTCCTAATGCTGTAGATTGGGCTTTTTGCATGGCCAGGCTCCAAAATATCTGAGTGATATGAATTAAGGAAAAGAAGAGGCGCAAAGGATCTAGCTTTCTACGTAGACCTCTATTTATAACATGCTGAAATATAACAACCATAGGTTGAAAGTCCTCTTCTCTAGCCCTTCGGAATTTCATAAAGTGGTTCACATCACATTCAGCAGCTTTTATTTTGATTTGCCTCCTGACTAGCCCCACTTCTTGGATCCCCTCACCCTATTTTTTGTACAAGGCTTTTGACAGGTTTCAAATCAGTATACTACAGTAAAAACAACTGTTCTGACAGACTTCTTTTAGTATCAAGCTGAGACCTTGGCAATCACAGCAGGAGAGCAGCTCCATAGACACACCCAATTGCATCCTCACAGCCCCTCAACCAAACTCAAGGCTAAATTGTTCACTGCTGACCCTGCAATAAATGTTAATTTTGCAACTGCCTGGGCCAGTGTCATCTGAAGGCCATGCTCAGCAAGACAAAATACTTCCCTACCATCAAGGCCCACACAGCAAGACTGAACATTAACTGCTGCTCAAGCCTGGTGAAAGCAAAGGTAAAGTCACCACACTGACAACCAAGTAGTTGTCCTGGAGCAATTGGACACTGCCGGTGAGTCTAGCAGTATTTTTACTCAGCTGAGTGCCCTGTCTCCACAGATGACTATTAAGCAGCATCAGTATCCTTACCAGAAACCAGCGCTCTCCAACACTGTTAGGGGCCAGCAAGGCAAAAAACAGTGACAGAAAACCACAATACCTCATGTCTGTTCTCCCCTGAAACTGCAAGATGTAAAGGTTGCTCAGTGGGGTGGAAAAGGAAAAGCAGAACATGATCAGGAGAGATGAGCAATTACTACAGTGCTACCACAGAGAGCAGAAAGGGGAACAAGGCACAAAGAAAGGCAAACCCCAATTCTGAAACAGCTGCAAGTCATGAAAGGTGCTGAACTGTCCCAACAGATCCAACTTTGCACCTAATGCTCCCTGAGGCAGAGGACTACTTGACAAACCTCAGCTCAGAAACTCTGCCCTATGTAATAAAATTAGATAAGGTTTGTTCTCATCTCAGTTCTACAGAGGCACATCTCTGTTATGTTACGCTACCCATGCGAGACAGTTAAGTCAGATTGTTTATAAATCTGAGGTTTATAAAGTTCATTTGGAATGGACTCCACAATCCCCAAGTTAAAAATCTGCCCCATGTTGAGATCAACACAGTTTGAGTGAAAATTTTCCAGCCCTAAAACATTTCTATTATAGAGTACAGAGAGGGAACAAGCTATGCAGCACCAGGGACAATCACATCAGAAAATCTCAAACATTCAAATGAAAGGATAGACAGAAAAAAAAGGGAAGGATGGAGTATAGTATTCTTATCCGTGGAGACTTTCAAGATGCAATTGTGCAGCATGCTAGATAATTTCATCTAGGCTCCCTTTTCCAATAAAAGGTTGGACCTGATGATCTCCCAGAGGCTACTTCTTGCTTGGGTTGTTCTGTTATTCTATGAACAAAGGGAAGCAAGACAGAAGAGAGTATTCATTCTAATTTTATTTTTTACGGTAGTGCTCTAAAGCAGACTGCCCAGAAAGTTATGCCTTCTTCAATCACAGGCTACTTCTGATGCTTGGACGTGGAGATAGATCTTTTTGTCCTTTGGAGTGCTTCGCCTGCAAGAACATCAAAATGTGAGCAGCAACCAGCAAGAAATGCATTCAGCTAGCACCTGATTTCAGGTTCTTCATTTGCTCTGCCTCTTCCCCAGAGAAAACAAGCAGTTAATTCTGAAGTCCTCTAGGGTTGCTCTGGCTCCTCAGGAGATACCAATGCTTCACTTACCATATAAAGTAGCTGTTATTAACACTGCACTTTGTTCCACAAAAATCAGCCAATTTCTTAAAGCACAAATTACAGTTATAGTAGGGTTGCAGCCTTTTTAAGATACCAGCCAAATTATTCACAGACCAGTAAAAGTATCTGTGGTGCTTGTTTTCAAATGCCTAGATGAACACTAAAGCAGAGTCCAAACTCTCCTAGAATGGAGCCTAAGAGCCAGCTATAGAAACTTCTTGGAAGCATAGGAGGCAGCAAAGTAACAAATGGGCTTCCCCAAGGAGTTCTGTTGTACGTTTTGTAAAATTTCAAGTGAAACCTGCCAGCCTAACTCACCTGTGAAAGTTTTCAACATCTTCAACAGTCTCAGGCAAAACTCTTCCCTTAGTTTCAGGCAGAAACAACACCAATCCACCCGCAATCAAACCAAGAACAGCTTCAAATCAAAGAAACGCAAAAAGAGCTTGTTAGCATATACATCACTTTCTGCTGCCTGGCATAAAGGACTTACAAGTGGTATTTTATTTTGTTGGGTTTTTTTTTGTTTGTTTGTTTTGTGGGTTGTTTTTTGTTTTGTTTTGGGTTTTTTTGGTTTTTTTTTTTTTTTTTTTGTAAGAAAATGAACACATAAGGCTTGATATGCAAGACCAGCACACCATCTATGGAGGATCTGGCAGCTACACGGAAATAGCAAGGAGTCAAGTTCAGTTGTGAGTTACACACTGAGCTGGGTGGGGTAATGATGACTGGACTGACATCTGTAAAGAGGGAAAAACCCTTTCGATAGCCTGAGCACAAATCAGAAAATGGATGCTGTTTACATAACGAGCTTTAGAAAATACATACCAAACATTAATTCCCGCACAATGTGTTTAACTTGCTCACTGATAGTTTCATTTACCCACTTTATACATGTTTTATGTCTATATTTTGAATCTGCTAAGCACTCTCCCAAATGTTCTGTCAATTAAGAACTGCATATTGCCATTCAAGACATTTTTCTTGAAACAATGTTCTTCTGATCCAAAGATTCAGAGAACACAGACCTTGACCTGAAAAGTTCAGGTCACTAGTTTGCAAGTGCTCATCTTGCATTTATTTACTAATCTCTTTCCAAACAGGTGGAGAAGAGCCAGTTAACAGTGTTAGAAAAGCTGAAGTATAACAACTATGCTTGTACTCCATTAAAAAAAAAGAGGGGGGAGGGGGAAATTCTGACTTTGTCTCCAGGACTGAGGAAGCACACCTCATAGAAGAGCAACAATTTATCAGATTTAAATACAGCAAAAATAAACCAAAACCCATTTCATCTCATCAGAATGTTGGAACGTTGCTCAGCATTTCACCATCTATCCAGCCTGTATTCATCTCCAGCTTCTTTTAAAACACAGGGAACAATAATGACACAATTACAACATCGCAGGTACAAATGCACAGGCAAGTCCCAGGATGCTACAAACTGAAGGTTACAGCACATACAGATGTGAAAATGCACCTGCTGAATTTGGAGCTACTGTCCCAGCTGTTTCTCCCTCTCTTTGAAATCTGGATCCCATTACTGCGCCCCAGAAGCACCTGGTGAGGAAGTAATGTGGCACTTACTGAAGACTATCAGTGGCAACTCATGCCAGATTTCCACCAGCCTGTAGACGATGAATGGGACAGCAATTCCACCAACATCACACAATGCAGAGCAGACCATCACACCAAGGTTCCTGGTTTGACAGGAAAGGGATCATATTAGCAAGCACTGCAAATGGAAGAGGACAGGGCACAACTCTGACTTCGCACACAGCATGTGGCTTCACAAACCACAAAATACCAAAATAGTGTGCAAAGCTCTAGTTTTCCAAAGGTGGGCACATCCATGAGTTACTTAGACTTAAGTACTGCAAGCATGAAAAGCTTAGCAAATAGCAGCAGTATAGTACACCTGTATTATCACAGGTGTAAGAAATTCCCCAAGGTTAAACATAGAAGAAAATCAGGCTCACAGTGTCTGAGGGGAGTCTCCAAGCACTTACTATGCAAAACCATTAGCTTCACCTCTTAAATGACTTAGCACAAGGGGCATCAAATAATGCTTTCGTTTGGTATGTACCATTAATAAAAGTTCAACTATCTTCTACTATGTTAATTGTGGATATAGAAATGAGATTAAGAGTATCCAGTGAAGAAAGGAGGATTGAGATTCTCTGGTCAGTTCAGACACCTTCCCTGCATGCAGTGGCCAATGGTCACTCAGGGGAAGGAATTTTTGAGAACTTTACTCCCAAGCTTCAGTTACCTGCAGTGCACATAACTACTTCTGAGCTATGCACCCTACAGTCCAATAGGAAAAAAACAAATCCATTCTTCAGGTCAAGAGCTCAAGTTCACATATTCTCCATAGCAACAACCACGCTGGACACATCCATTTGCATGTAATTTTGACTCAAATTAAATACAAATTAACCAGTATGCAAGACTTCAGATTCATTGCCTGCCCTGGTTCTGTCCACTTTTCCCTTTATTTCATCTGCATGAATTTTCATCTGCTTGAACCACGTTGGTTTTCTTTATTAATCAATGTTTTACAGCACTTTTCTTCCACTCTACTTAACGTTAGGCAATAATGATATATGTTTGAAAGTATTTGGGGATTACTTATTTTAGCATAAAACATAAAATACACATTGGCTTCAACTATTTGTTTGCTGGTCCAACAGCAGAAAGATACACTTACCTGATGTACGTTGGATATAACTCAGTGTTTACAAAGCAAACCATTTCAAAAGCTATCGTGATTCCCATTCGCCCAAGGCAAGCAGCAATTAATTTCAGCCAATGTAGGTCTGCAGGTAAAATGCATTCAATACATTTAAATTATCCCAGTGATTTAGCAGGGATTGGTTAATACCACTGCTATTTTAGCTAGACCTCTGATCCCCTATCATGTGATGTTTTTTAAAGAACTCTCTTGTGTGAATCAGGAAATGAAAACAGTCAACACCACATGAGCTGTGGCACAACACAAGGGACCCAGATGCTTTGAGATTTATTATTAGCAGTGCTATAAAATCTGTTTATTTCACTGAGGAGCAGCTGAGGTCCCTAGGTTTGCTCAACCCAGAGCAGA